CTGTCTGCTTCCTGTCTGCTTCCTGTCTGTTACCTGTTTGCTTCCTGTCTGCTTCCTGTCTGTTACCTGTTTGCTTCCTGTCTGCTTCCTGTCTGTTACATGTCTGCTTCCTGTTTGCTTCCTGTCTGCTTCCCGTCTGCTTCCTGTCTGTTACATGTCTGCTTCCTGTCTGTTACATGTTTGCTTCCTGTTTACTTCCTGTCTGTTACATGTCTGCTTCCTGTCTGTTACATGTTTGCTTCCTGTCTGCTTCCTTCTGTTACATGTCTGCTTCCTGTCTGTTACCTATCTGCTTCCTGTCTGTTACATGACTGCTTCCTGTCTGTTACACGTCTGCTTCCTGTCTGTTACATGTCTGCTTCCTGTCTGTTACATGTTTGCTTCCTGTTTACTTCCTGTCTGTTACATGTCTGCTTCCTGTCTGTTACCTATCTGCTTCCTGTCTGTTACATGTCTGCTTCCTGTCTGTTACCTATCTTCTTCCTGTCTGTTACATGTCTGCTTCCTTTCTGCTTCCTGTCTGTTACATGTCTGCTTCCTGTCTGCTTCCTTTCTGCTTCCTGTCTGTTACATGTCTGTTACCTATCTGCTTCCTGTCTGTTACTTGTCTGCTTCCTGTCTGTTACCTATCTTCTTCCTGTCTGTTACATGTCTGCTTCCTGTCTGTTACATGTCTGCTTCCTGTCTGTTACATGTCTGCTTCCTGATTGTTACCTATCTGCTTCCTGTCTGTTACATGTCTGCTTCCTGTCTGTTACACGTCTGCTTCCTGTCTGTTACATGTCTGCTTCCTGTCTGCTTCCTTTCTGCTTCCTGTCTGTTACATGTCTGTTACCTATCTGCTTCCTGTCTGTTACTTGTCTGCTTCCTGTCTGTTACCTATCTTCTTCCTGTCTGTTACATGTCTGCTTCCTGTCTGTTACATGTCTGCTTCCTGTCTGTTACATGTCTGCTTCCTGTTTGTTTCCTGTCTGCTTCCTGTCTGTTACATGACTGTTTCCTGTCTGCTTCCTGTTTGTTACATGTCTGCTTCCTGTCTGTTACATGTCTGCTTCCTGTCTGCTTCCTGTTTGTTACATGTCTGCTTCCTGTCTGCTTCCTGTCTGTTACATGTCTGCTTCCTGTCTGTTACATGTCTGCTTCCTGTCTGCAGGGTTTCCAGGTACCGACAGTGATGAACCCCGGAATGCCTCTGGTTCTGAACCTGCAGCCGGGTCAGACGGTCCAGCCCCTCACTCTGATTCAGTGTATGTTGACCTGTCAGTGGTGATTGATGGTGCAGTCCTGACTGACAGCTGATGATGTCATTTCCTGCTCCACAGCCCCAGCTCTGGGTCAGCTGGTCCGGCCCGCTGTGGGCGTGTCCTCTGTCCACTCCCAGGGACAAACTGGCAAAGTCTCCGCCTCTCCAGGAGGCTTCACCACCATGCAGCTGCCCACGACCACACTGACCATCCGGACCAGCACACCGGGACCCGGATCAGGACCCAGACCTGGATCCGGAACTGGTCTGTGAATAAGACTCATTGGGAGGGAGTTCTGGTCCAAACGGGTCAGACTCCTGGACTCACTGTCCCTTCTCTCTCTCTCTTTTTTTAGTGAACCTGCAGGTGACGAAAGTGAGGAGCTCCGACTCCCTGAAGGTGGTAGCTTGCCCCGCCCCCCTCACAGCTCCAGCCAATGGCGTCACAAAGGCCACACCCCTCAGCAGCTGCATCAGTGAGCCCATAAGATATCAGAATACTGTATGGATCTGGGTCCAGACTGATCCAGGTCCAGACTGATCCAGGTCCAGACTGATCCGAGTCCAGACTGATCCAGGTCCAGACTGATCCGAGTCCAGACTGATCCGGGTCC